TTGAGACAGTAACGTAGCCTTAACGCAATGGGTTGTGAGAAGAAATTCAGTATCCGATTCTTGAGAAATTCTTTGAAGAGCTGGGTTAGGATTCTTCAGGAAGAAAAATTTTAAATCAATTTTTTATTTAAAGCTTCAGAGATGACTTTTTTTTTTAAAGGAAGAACCATGGGCTTTCCTGTTCAGCACAAGTGTGATACATCACAAGAATCAATTAAATGTCTGAAATGCAAATTTGATTATCACAAAGGTTTAAGACATTGTTCCCTAATAAAATAAGCTGAGAAGGTCTTTACAACATCATATCTCTCTTGTATATAAAAGTTGTGTGTAAACTAGAAGATGCCACAATATCAACACTTAAACAGACAGGAATGACATAATCCAAAAGCATAAACTTTAACTTCCCACAGCAGTTGAGGTCTTTCACGGGGGCAGTCAGAGCGGGTCATCTTACTAATGCTGAACGGAAATGCAATCATGCAAAGTAACTCGAACACGGCCCATTCAAACTTCCAGTCGACAGAAAGGAAAAGGAGGCGAGTAGAAACAATCCTGATGGGACGAGGGGCATTCCAGCAATTCCTGGGAAGATTTGTATTACCTTTTAATTCCATTTTTCGGTGAACTTTTTAAGTATACTCATACTCTAAGAGACCTCAAAAGCTTTTTTCTTCCTCCCTCTATTCCTTCCTCCCTCCTTTCTTCCCTGTCTATATCTGACAAGGTTCTGCAATTAAAAAAATAATCACCAGAGACAGAACTGAGCCCTGTCTCTTTTCCACATTCAGGGAGCATCAGTGAGAAGGTGGAGAAGGAGCCAAGACGGCCTGGGGACCTCCAGGTGGCCGTCTCAGTCTGGATGGACTCACCCAGTCTCTACTGTCTGTGGCAAATGGGCAGCTATCTCCTCTCTCATCTATTCTGTATGTTGAGTTTGTAATTTTATTTTGAAAATAATACATTTTGAAGATTCACAATTGTTGAGGATCTACAGTGAATCCTTCCTTGTCTACTGTTCAGATTCCTCTGCCTAGTTCTGATGCTCTCCACAATCTGATCTCACATTTATAGCCTGGCTTACGTTCCAATTCCACCTACTTCAACAGCTCAAATTGACATCTCCATTCTGAGAACTTCTATTTAAATCAAGAATCCATGCCACAGGGTTTAACATTTAATTGTTCTAGACAGACTCTTTTTTCCACTTGAGGGCAAGAATAATACCACTAGTTTCTTTTTTATTTCCCTAAGTGCTCAGAGATACATAGTAGAAATTCAATACATTTTAAAAATGAATCAAAGAGCTCTTTTTGTAAGGTAATAATCATTCCAAAGCTCATCTGTTTCATAAACACTAATATGTGCATTATGCTTTCATAAGCTCTAAGTGGCATATTAGAAGACAGAAGGATGCAATTCATATATGCTGCTGGTAAAAAAGTAAACTCGTTCAACTCTGGAAAATAACTTGGCATTAACTTGTAGCACTCCCTGTGGTTCATTGCTTCCATTCTTAGGTGCAAATGAGAGAAAATTTTGCATGTGTATACCAGGAAAGGTACACAAAAAATATCTTAGAAGTATTGTTTACAATAGCAAACAACTGTAAACAACCTAAACAGCAAGCAACAAGAACAGCAGTGAAAATAATAAACTACAGCCTCATGCACCAACATGGATTAATTGCTCAAACATGATGCTATGTGAATAAAGCAAGCTGTAGATATATACATATTTGTATTAATATATATATATATATATTTAAAATGCTTCATTTATATAAAGTTCAAACTACGCAAGAGTAGTAAACAATAGATTTTATTTTAGAAATTCATACAGATGTAGGAAAAACTACAATGAAAAACCAAGGAGTGATAAATACTAAGTTCAGGATACAGTAACCCCTGAGGAAGAGAATGGCAGACACAAGTGAAAAAATATTTTTATTGTTTATTTCTTAAGCTGGTTTGTGGATATCAGAGTATCTCTATTATTGTTTCTATCTAACGCATATATCATGTAAAATCTTTCATAAATATCTAATATTTCATTATTTAAACGTAAATGAAAACTATTCATCTCTCTAATAGCTGTTGCAAGTACACTGATCACATTCAGAAGTTTAAAAAAAAAAAAAGAGAGAGAGAAAATTTAGGTTCCACAGGTCTCTGCATAGAAAAGATATCAGGGCTGCACAGCAAAACAGGAAGTCTATGGCAGGTGCAAACAATAACTACCTTAACTTAAGAAGAGAAGTGAAACTGTAGGATGCCATACATACTGTAAGGCAGAAAAACAAGTACTTTCTAGGCCAGAGGATCTCATTAAGGCAAATGAGACTCTCAGGGCTCTGGTAAGTAAGTGTTCCAGAGTAGTTCAGTGGGACTAGAACACCAGGGTTTAGAGCAGGACTTGGTAAGAGGAGCTGGAACACAATAAATGAATTCAAGAAAGAAAGACAGAAAAAATTCCAGATTAGAGAGCAAAACTGATTCCAGAATGATACAAATACAATATGGAGATCTTAAGTCAGATGTCAATTCTGTAATTTTATGTACCTCATTTTTTAAAATTTCCAAGTAAATAAAGTTCACTTCATTTTCCTTTCATTTATGGCTGGTGTAATTTGACTACCGATGTAGGTTGACTACCACTTATTACCTTCAGGCAATACATTTTGTGAATCTTGTTTCCTCTTATGATGCCTATAGCTGCAGAACTTTAGCTGAGGATTCTACATCTAGTTAAATGTCCAGTTCGAAGTAATGGTGATAACACAACTCTGCCTCTTAAAGTCTAGAGTTGTGAAAGCTTTTTCCAGGTTCACTCCAGTCATTATTGAATATGGGCGAACAATACCAGCTAAATTTTTAAAGCCTAAAAGTAATGTTAAAACTAAAAGTTAATTTCTACTCTGTACTACACTCAATTCCAGCTTTTAAAACTCAATTCTCATTCTTTCCCAGCACTCTCAATTTAAAGCCATCATTACCCAATCACTGAGGACATATTTTTCTCTATTATTCACATAGCATAATTTTACACTAATTTATTAATTAAAATCATCTTACCTGCACTTTTTTTAAAGCTACTGGTACTCCATCCAAGAGACAGGCTGCTCTATAGACTTCACTAAATTGTCCACGACCAATTTTCTTTTCTATTCGAAAGTTGGCTAATGTATTATAGCCCATATCTGGTCGTAAGGCCTTCTGTAATTAAAAACATAAGAAAAATTTTCAGTCACACAATATACACACAATACACACAATCATTGACCATTTCACAGAAGGAGGTGATACCTCTGGTAAGTTTGCAGACATCCATTCATTCAACAAATATTTATTGAACATCTACTCATGCCGAGCACTGTTCTCACACTGAAGTTACAGACAATAATCCCAGTATGTGAGGAACTTACATTCTAGTGAAGGAAAAAGATAATAATGTAAATATAAAAAAATATATATATAGTACTGAGATAGCCAAGGATGAAAAGAAAGAATAAGTCAAGAAGAGAGATATGGGGACAAGAAGGATTTTAAAATTTTAGATAGCAACTCCCTGTAACTTGTCTTTAGTTCACAGAATATAAATTTGCTCATCCAATCTAGTATTTCTCTATTTCTTTTCTTTTTCAAAGAATGTTTGAGTTGAAATGGACCTTTGATATATTTAGTTCAATCTGTTAACTAATGCACGAAACACTTCTTAACTTTCTGACAGTTCTGTCAAATGGCTAGAAGAGAGAAGGTTAAATGTTTTCATCCCAAAGAAAGGATAAATTTGGGGATGATGAATTTGCTAATTACCCTGATTTGATCACTACACATTGTATACCTGTATTGAAATATAACTCCGTATCCCATAACTATATACAATCAATATGTTTCAATTAAAAAACAAATTTTAAAAAACAAAAACCAAAAAATTTTCTGACAGTTATTCAACTTGTGCAAAAGTGTTTCCAGTGGTGGGGAGTTCACCACCACATCTTTACATTTTTTAACAATACATTTTGTTGTTGGTGGTGGAAAAGTCATTTCTTTCTCTACGAATATTACTTGGTACTTACTACATGCCAGACACTGTGCTAGCTCCTAGAGAAACAGATGCATCAGAAACGTGTTCTGCTCTCAAACAGCTTACCCAAATACACAGAAAAGGCTCTTCACTGTGCTGTGGGAGAAGGAAACATAGGGCACTGGGGTGGGGAGTGGCAGTGGACACAGTCGTCATCCCTATTAAGGCTACCCACCCATCGTGCTAGTGCTTTTGTTCCTCTGTTTGTTCACGGACTCATTCACTCAGTCATTTGTTATAGGGGTCAGTCCACTAGCATCAGACACTGTCTATTGCTGAGGTTACAACCTACACACAAGGAATACTGCCTTTCATGATCCCACGGCACACATTTTAGCATCTCTTCCTATATAAAATATAACAAAATAGTCTGTTTTATCTATCTTATGCCTTATATATTCTCTTGTTTGGCTAAACATGCCTGGGCCTTTTCACGGTTCCTGGGTTATTGAAAAGTACACTCTTCTAAACCTTCTCCACTCTCCTCACACCACGGTATCCCCTCTACTCTTGAGCCAACTTCACACAAACATGACATTCCTGTGGGGCCCAAGTAGTGTGCCCTCTAATGCAACTGAATATTAAAGATCTATTAATGGATTCAAAGATGGCGCTGGTTCGTAAACACATTACATTAACCTTGAACTCTAAGGCCTTCAAATAAAGCTTTGTTAAGGCTGATAACCCCATGTCCTGGACTTATGCAGAAGGCTATTTTGATATATCGGCAGTACTTGACATTAACCCTCAGCACATTTTATTTTGTTAATTTCAGTACATCTATCATGCGTGCTAACAAGAACTGTAAAATTCTGCTAAGGATTCAATGTAATTCAAAACCAGTGTCCCTCAAAATGAGAAAAAAATGAGTAATAATTTGTTATTGTACATTGCTTTTCTTCTTCTGAAAGTCTAAAATATTGTTAAGAAAAATACCACTCTTTTCTTCAAAATATACAAAACAGCCAGAATACAAGAAATTTCACAAACTCATTTCATAAATATTGGACCATAAAGTAATTGTTATGACAATAAAACATTAAGAAAAACAACTTCTGCTATAATAGAAGGTTCTATTTGATGTTTACAACTTAGCAGGCACTATATATTAGGAGTTTATATGCCGTCTAATTCAATTCTCATGAAAATCTTATAACGAAGGTGGTATTAAACCAAACCTATGTCTAGCTGATTCCCAAGTATAGCCTATGCTATATTGCCATGGTTACTAAGCAGTCACCTACAATATGACCCAACATTACGGGACCTTACGTGATCATTCACAGATATTTTCAATTTCAAGTCTTTTGATTAAAAAAAAAAAGAAAAAAAAAACTGGGAATATAGAAACATGTTAAAAATGAAAATGAAAAAGTATACCATAGAAAAGAAAAATAAAGCCAAAATGAAATTTTCAAATAAAGGGAGATAACTTGCCATGCTGTTCATTTGTAAGAAGATTTCTTTGTGTAGTCACTGAATTTATAATTGTCACTGAGACAAAATGGCATATATTTAACAAAGGAAATCACAAAGTACCACTTCTTAGATATATTCAATGGATACTAGCAACTTTTTAAGTTTTTTTAGCTTTAAATAAAGGATTTGTTTAAAAAAGGAGAGATTTTTAAAAATTACCTATGCTTTTCTAAGCAATTTTTTTAATCCTACACACTAGGATAATCAATAACATCTAAGAAAGAGAATTCCTTCTTTCTCTTGAAGACGTGTCAATTGTAGCAGTAAAATATAGCTTCATCATTGGGAACACTATCATACAATCCTTAATCTTTAAATTTGACTGGGAATTCCATCTTCTGTCTGCACAATAACTTGACAAATATTAGCGTGAACTGCTAAGGCAGTGTGACAACCGCATGCTGAGAGCAAAGTCTCACTAATGTGTTTTGGCATGCAGGTTTGTAATCACACATTTACATATGCAATGACCTACATTTGCATGTCAGATCACACACTGTCTTGGTTTATTAAGACTGGGCACCTCCCTGTGCTCCGCGGCCAGAGTGTGGTGAGAGAGGGCCAGAGGGTGGTGTTTTTTGGCAGTTGAGGGATGAACTGCCACCAAGGATTAGGTTGACATGGCCTGAGCATTAGACACTTCATTAGACATAATCTGTTTAACAGTGGGCAGTGTATGTAAACTTCACAGCCCATTTGCGGCACCTTTTCCCCCCATGGCCTTTCTTCAAAGGGCAGTGTGGGTGAGTGACAGCTTGTCTCATCTGCTCCCATGTCCTGTCACCCAACGTTGATGTGGAGAGCTGACATGAGAAGGAGCATAACTGCACATCTCCAACCACCCTTGGGTCTCTTTTCCACACTGCAATTTGTATAAAAATAAGCTTGTGTAGGATGAGGCCTCCTTTAGGAGATCATCAGGCGGGTAATACGTATACTTCAGTAACAATTATATTACGTTGTATTCGATGCCACGCTTCATTTTGATGAGTTACATCTCACTGTAGGTAGCATTATATTAGGAGCTTTATAAAAGATGGTATCGTCAAATGGGCTCCCACTCAAAGAACTATTTTTAGGGAAGAGCTATATTCTTTTTCTTTGAATGATGTCCAATTTCCCATTTTTTTTAAGTTTAGCATCTTGAGTTATACTGGGAATAAAATAACTCAGGAAAACAATGAGATTCAAATAACTATGAAATATAAACCTAACAAAATCAGTTCAGCTGACTGCTGTTCTCAATTTGAAGTGTAAACAGAGTCTCGGTCTCTTCCAGTTCCTTAATGACCAGAGTATTATTCTACGCTACACAAAATGGCTTTTGGATTTAAGATGAGTCTCTTAAAGCACCTTCAGCTTTTGTGACAGTAAAAACCTACTTTGTTTCCTGTGCTATAAAATGAGGGTAATGATGCCTTACTGATGACAGAAAGCTTATAAAGTCACTTTTTCACCGAGCCACTGGCCGCGCCATCTACTCCCCAGGTGCAGCATGAGCTTTGTTTGCTCTCTCCATGGCACGGCATCTGCTGGTTCTCATGCCTTCTGAATAACTTCTTTCACACCTGGCAAACCACAACGCCTGTCTGGAACTCAGCTCCACTGTCAGCTCTTCTAAGGAATCCTCTTCAGCTCACTCAATAGCTGCACTGGCTCCTGCCTCTGTCTTCCACAGCAATTAACAGCAGTCATTCAACTCCATAAAGAGTTGTACAAACTCAGGCACTGTGCTAGGTTCTGGATCACACTGTCTTTTGGTTATTTGTTTATACATATAGATTTCTCCCTCCGTACATTGAGTTTCTCAAAGGAAGAGACCAAGTTTCTTTTTAGCTTTGTATCCAGATGCTATGAAACAGACAACAAAAATTTACTAAGTGAATGTATTTGAGATAACTTAATAAATGTAAAAGGTTTTGAATATACAGGGCATGACTGAAACTGGCGATAGGCTGTAAGTAGAATCTAGTAGAGGAGAGGAATAGTGTAGGGCAAAGAACACTGGACCTACAAAGCAAGGCAACTGCCTTCTGCCTCTAAAAACTTCCCAACGGGTGAACTCAGGAAATTCTCTTAATCCCCACTATTAAAGGAGACTTTAAATCACGGTCCCTGTTAAAGCAACAGGGGAAATACTGAACATCGTGCTTCAAAGTGATCTTGTTCCAAAGCCTTATCTAGGCATGGTTTTACAAAAGAATCCACCACATTCCCATAAAGCCCAATAGAAAAGGCACAGGTTCTGGAGCAAGGTCTGGGCTCAAATCCCAGTTTTTGCGCTCAGTATCTTCCTGAGTTGGGCAAGCCACCCAAACCTGTTTTCTGCTTCTGTAAAGCAAGGATCAGCCTACCTCAAAGAACTGTGTCTGAATGAGATAATAAATATGAAGCACTAGGACAGAGCCAAGCACATAGCAAATGCTCAATAACATTTAAGACTTTCCCTTCCACAGAGTGCCAGCAGTAACAACGTTCCAACACCCCACACTCACGACGGGGCTCTGTGTTGGTTGGTCCTCCTTCATGTGCTCCAGTTTTCAATACTAAAATTCATTAGTTCTCACTTCCATTTCCTTTTCTAATCCCTCTTTCTCTGGGCCACAAATGGAGTCTGAGTCTCTTGCTAGATTTCCCACAGCATACTTAG